GGGAGGAGAGCTGCGGGCTGCTGCGGGGGAAACGTCTCCTGCCGTCTCCCCTCCAGCCCCCTTCCTCCTGCGGAAAATGGCACCGGGGGAGGCTGGCGCTGCGGGAAGCCAAGGTTTCCTAACGTCGGAGTTAGGAGAGGTGGAGAAACGGTGTCAATCCCTTGTGCTTGTTTTTCCCCAGGAAGAGTTACTTAATTTTTATTTTTTCATGGTTCCTTTCCCCCCCCACAAAAAAAAAAAAGAAAAAGAAAACCCAGGAAGGGATGTTGGGGGGGAATGGCAAGAGTTTAATTGTTTTTTTTTTCTTTAAGGTTTTGCATCATCCTCTTTTCCAAATCTGTTAAACTTTGTCGGTGTGTTTGTGCACCCGGTTGATCTGTTTTGTGTTCAGAAGAAACGACTTTGCTGTTTTCATTCGTTCCTCTGGCGCAGAGCCGCCTGTGGCAGGTCTTTCAAGGGCAAGTCTCCCCGCGGGAGAGCTGCTGGGCACTTCGGCATCAGATCATAAAGGGGGGGAATTGATATAGATATACATTTTAGTTGTTTGTTTGTTTTTGTTTTTGTTTTTTTTTCCAAAAAACTATTCCCCTCACAGTGGCGTTTGGATACCTTGCTGGGTTTACCGTGGAAGACCCTGGGCTCCTCTTTTGAGAAAGTGCCTTTAGCTAAAATTCCTTGGCGCTATTTGGCTTTTAATCCACCTCTTTCCTCCCCTCATGCAGCTGCCTCTGTGCTGGCAAATTGCATTTTGGGGGGGCCGTAAGTGAATGGGCTCCAAGCCCAGAAGGACTTACTCATATGCCTAACTTCAAGTGCCAGATAATGTTCCTGCTTTCAAGGCATACTTCTGCCTTTGAAGGTGGCAGGCAAAGCTGGTTAAGTGTTCTGGGATCTTTTGGGATGATGGGAAATGTGCTTGTCCAGTGGCAGAAATAGCTGCTGTTTAGCAGGATTAACTCCAAGGTAACTGGCAGCACTTACCAGCTGGACTGTTTTCTTGACATTTATTTGCTTTTACTGGCACTTAAATGCCACCTGCCAGGAGAAAACTCTCCATTTAAAAAAGGGGAAAAAAAATCCGCCTGACTCAGCAGAATCCATCCCATCCAGGATGAGGAGTGCGATACTGCCCTTTTTAGGCAGGTAGGAGTCGTCTTGTGTCTGCAGGTACTCGTGTGTATAGATAAAACACAGATGGCAGCATCCGTGATGGCTTAGGGCACCGCTTTTGGGGACTGGTTTTTGTAACTGTCCCCGCTGAGAGGCAAATGAGGTTTAAATCACTGGCACTGTTGAATTGGGGTTTTGCTGGTCTCCTTTACTGAAAGCCCAGGGAGTGTTGCTGCTGGGCTGTGATGCAGGTGAGTGCTTGTGTTGTGTGCACACACGCACGCACACACACGCGGGTAACTCCCACTCTTGGATGCTGAATGCATGGAAATAGTTACCCTGCTGTTACGGACTGTCTTCAGCACGCAATTTTATTTGGGTGCAGTGAGGTATGAGGAATTATTTTCTTAAATTTTAGGAGCCGCTTCACGCTGAGCGCTACCAAATGTCTCTGGAGTGAACTGGATAGTCTGTTGTTTACTTGTTCCTGTTTGTTTGGAGGATTTTTGGCAGTCCTCCTTTATGCCAGTTCAAGCCATTCAAGCTGCCACTGTCAGCTGGCTGAACTGAGCCCTGAATTGAATTATGTCTGGAGCTCTGGTATGCCGGTGATGTTGGAGGAGGGGGAAAGGGGAGCTGCAGTCACTGGGGTTGAGTAAGCCTGACTGCTCATTGAAAAGCACCAGTTCTCCTCAGCTCGGCTCCCTGTGTCACTTCAACAGTCCTGTACTTCCACCCACCCCTCTGAAAGGAGGTGACGTCTGCCTGGTGCCCCAGCATGCCGAGGCTGACTTCAGTCCCATCTCCTCTGAAGGAAAGGGGGGTGGCAGTGAGAAGATAACTGCAAAAACTTAGCTCACGTTTTGTGAAATTATTTCGTTAAGGCCGGTGGGGCATGGCCCATGACTCCACAACCCTGAGCAAAGTGGCGTTCGGCACTGGCGCAGAATCTGCTTTTCACATGATCGTGGAGGCGTTTAACAGATTGGAAATTGGAGAGCGCTGGGCCTCTAGGGAGGTTTGTGGGCCTCTAGGGAGGTTTGCGGGAAGTCTTGTGTCTGGACCATAGCTTGGAAAAATTGTGTGCTTTGTAGATCATATTTAAAGATCCCTCCCAGAGTCAGTTTACTCTGTGACACTGAAGAAACGAATTACTGATTTATTTAGTAAGTAGCTGGATTCAAAACATGCAGAGCCCACATACATATGTCTGAGAGCTTTAAACATGGTGGAAACACGCGGCTCTGCTGTGCTGTTGGCTTTTTGGCAAAATTAGTTTGTCTTGTTCTTAATTAGTGGTGCTTTCTCAGGTAGCTCAAAGTATGTCTGTCTCTTTTGCAGCGGAGTTGGAGTTTGTACAGATAATCATAATCGTGGTGGTGATGATGGTGATGGTGGTGGTGATCACGTTTCTGCTGACCCACTACAAACTCTCTGCACGATCTTTCATCAGCCGGCACAGCCAAGGGAGGAGGAGAGATGAGAATCTGTCATCAGTAAGTGACACCCTGGTCTCCTAATCTGTGTTTTGCTGTTTACCAAGTGATGCAAAGTTTGGGAAGCATTAGAGTCAAAGGCATTGATCTCAGTTGTGTTTGCCCATGTGCCACTCAGCACTGGATGAAGAGGCACCCTCCAAACTCGTTCCTGGCATTGTTTTTCAGTCTCTGTTCTGCACGGAGCCTGTTTGGAGATGCCTCTGATATAACTTATATCATGTGGACAGCCATAACCCTGTCTTTGCCCTGAGCTAGTTTAGGCTTTTCATCAAGGTAAGCCCGGTAGCCTCTGTGAACTCTGCAGCTGCTACACATCCTACTGCACGGGTGCTGGCTGATCAACAGCGATGTTCGCTGAGACAACTGACCGTATGAGGCTGTTCGTTGTGTGTCCTGTCCTGATGGCTGGGATGCAAATGTCTTGACTTTATAGCTCAAAATTATGGAGTCTTTTGGGGGCTCCAGTTGGAGCGTCTCAAACGACTGTATTAAAATCTACTGCCTGGCTTCAAGAGGATAGGCATTTGTGAAAGACTTTCTCTGGTTTTCTCCACTGGTAAAATTGTGCCACCATTACAGTAGCGGGGAATGTCAAAATACACTTGTCAGCCAGATGAGCACAAGTCTCTCTAAGGTAATGCTCGAGTGGTTCGCTGCGTGGCTCAGGCTTCCTGGTTCATTAGAACTCAGAGGAGAAATGCATTAATTGCACCTCTGACACGAATTCGAGGGGGAGCCTCTCCAGCCTCTTGACAGACTGCTTTTTGTAGAGCTGGAGTGTTCCCTCACATGCTGCAGCTCCGAGTGAGTTACAGGAACCTGTAGAGAACGGAAATAAAATTTCCTTGGAGGGCGAACATGTACTATTCACTGCTGTCTACATGACTCTGTCTTCCAGTGCAGGGTTATCTTGTACTGATACATTTTTTAGCATCCACCCTGAAGGATCTGAAAGCTCTTTAAATAATATGGCTTCTTCAAGGTCATTGCTTCTTGCTCTTTCTCTTGTTTGCAGACTTCCACTGTAGGCTGAACAGATCAGTAGTTGTTTGTTTTTTTCCATTTGGGGCCATGTTCTCTTATATTATATCCATGCTCCCAATAAGAAAAAGATCACATAGTGTGATTGTTTTCTTAAATAAATAAATAAATAAATCACCATAGATAATCTGTCATTTTGTCATGAATTACACACAGGAGAGTAAGGTCTCTTATGGGGTGCTCTGCGCCAAGGTGAAGAAGATACCCCTTTGGGAAGGAGAGCTGTGAAGACCCTTCATTTAGTAGTCTGTGGACAGCATCTCTAAAGGGCAAGGGGCTGAACTCAGCACACGCTCGTTTATCTGAAACCATACAGCACGAACAGACTGCCTGGAGTATGCCATCTCATAAGCCATCTCTCTTAAGCCAACTGGTGTGAGGGTGAGGAGCACTCAAGGCGTTTCTCTCAAGTGCCTGCCTGTTTTGGGGATCGGAGCGAAACATCCAGGTCATGCCCAGGCTCTTTTTGGCATTCCAAAACTTATTTCACTTCTTATAGTCCCATGCACCTGGTTCTAGCAGTAGCAAAATGTGGGCACATGAGCACATCTAGTCAGCGCTCAGAAGCAAAAAGTTACTTAGAGGCTTTGGTATCATGGGTTTCTACCTGAAAGGAACAAGAGTGGGGACCCATTGATTAGCTGTATCTCCATTGCTTCATTAGACATCCTGTTTCTCTGAGAGTGGGGATTAAGAAATAACTTCTGAACTAGCGAGGTTCTGAATCTAGGGATAGGGCAGAACTTGGGTGGCCTGGTCCCTCCCAATGTTAGGCTTTTTTTTTTAAAAAAAACGTTCTCATTAAGACTCATACTACTCAGTACACTCATAGATATTTGCCAGAATGAGGAGTTTTAATAAAGCCAGAAGTATTTGCGAGTTTGGGACAAATTTGGTAAATTGCTTTAGATGTAAAAGTGGGTGAAGGATTTAGAGCTTTTAAAAATACAGGGTTTTTTCCCCCATTTCCAGAATGTTTTATTTTGGAAATAGGAAAATGTTTCTTGCTACATTTTCAAAACAAATAACAGGACAAGCCTTTTTTATTTTAAAATACCTGTTTATGTTTTCTTACATGCCTTTTTTTTTTTTGTTAAGGCTAACATGGAAGAAAATAGCAAATCGCATGGAAATTGAACAGAAATTTTAGGTTGAAATAAAATTTTGTCCATTGTTTAATTTTTTTTATTTTTAAAAAGATTTCACCAAGCCAGTGTTATTTCCAGCCATTTTTTTTTTGGCCCAGGTGGTATACCAAAACAGATTCATTTATTTATTCAGCCTTCAGAAACATCAGTAATTAAAATAGGTTTTCAGCAAACATTTACTGCTGCACATCTGTTAGACCTCTGTGCAGACCCAGAGCCTTCAAATCCTTTTTCTGAGTGCTGTTAATGTACAACGTTGGGGTTTCTCCCCTCCTTACCGTTCTTCCTCTTCTCCCTGCCCCCTCTTTTGCTCCAAGCACAGTGTAATTAAGTCCCAGCCACACTTTCCTTGTGGCCTGAGAGCCCTCCTGAAAGGACAGAAAAGCCCCTTGTGTGCTAAGCAGGAAGCTCGTTACACTGGGATCAATCATAGTAAAGATCTTAAAGGTAGCTCATTTTAGATTCAGCACAGTATGTCTTTTTGTAGGAAACTTCTCCAGTCTAAACCGGCGTTCAAGAACGGCAAGCAGACCTGGTTGAACTAGATGCTGGTTTACATAATCCATTAAACTTGCACTGAACTGTTGTTGGACTTTTTTTAATCCCAAACTTCATTTTGCTGTCGTGACCAGAGACATGCACTGGGGCTACATACACAATTTTCCTCTTCTAAAATATTAAAATAGTTCAGCCCATGGTCAGAATGCTCCTGCATCGACATTAGTTGTCCTTTTCTGTTGTTGTAGCTCAGAAGTTACAAGTGAAGGAGAAATTCATTTCCCCAAAGGTCTTTTTAATGTGGTTCCTGCTAGCAAGGAAATACTGTATTACTGGATGTATTTCTCTGTAACCCTCTCTTCTCTCTGTCTAAACTCTATCCTCTTAAAACAGGTACCTTTATTTTTCCAGAATGAAGACTCTTTGAGAAATGCTACTCAGATCCTTTTTTGCAGTAAGCTGGGCGTTGTCTCTACGCCTTTGGGACAGTGAGACCCAATCTCAATGCTTCCCCCCAACCCCCCACCTTGCGAAAAAGTGGTTCAAATACAATTTCCAAACATAACTTTGTTCCCCAAATTGGAAAACATAAGTCTTCCTGAAGGCTTCCAGACTTAGCGTGTACTGTTCAGTTTACTCTAAAAGCTCTTTGCTATTACTAAAACAAGCAGTTCTATAAAAGTCAAAGATTGATCTCTAAAAAGAAATTAAAAAGTTATTTTAGATTTTGAAGTGAGTCATGGAATACTTGTTGGAGATTTTTAAAGGCATATTGCTCATTAGACATCAGAATCTCAACATTTTGCAAAAAGAAACATAGCTTTCTGGATAGAGCCACTGTTGAGATTAAGTCAGTCCTAAGTATTCCAAAAGTCAAAGCTGAATGAAGAGCCTTTCCAGAGTCAAGTCCTGAAGTCTCAGCAGAAATGATTAAAAATTGAGGACAGATCCAGCTCCTGCAGACTTTATGTTGGGGCTGGGTCTTCTGTCTTCTCCTTACAGCTCCAAGTATCATGTTTAATAGTATTTCTGCTGTTTCGCTCTTCTTGCATCCATGCGTCATCCAGAGCACCAATCCTGTGTCAAGACCTCAGTTGTACAAATGCAGACTTTTAAAAAGATGAGTTAGTCTGTGAGCCAGAGAGTTTTCCTCCTTAATACCTTGGAGGGATTTTGGGCCCAGGCTTTGGAGTGAGTAGCGGCGGGTGGGGCAGATTTTGAAGGGAAGTAATTCCCCTAACGGTGTATGACGTCCTGCTCGCCTCCTGTAGCGGAGAGCCCCCGAGCGGTGGGTCGCGATGCTCCCTGCGCGTCGGGGAGCGCCGGGCTTCCTGCCGTCCTGCAGCTGCCCTCGTGCGAACGGGCTGACACGCTCCAGGGGAAGTGGCGAAGCAGATGGGGTAGCGCAGTGGCGCTGCCCACTGCGATGTTAAATATAAAGCATCTAGCATAAGGCAGCGGGGTACTCACCGCTCAGGAAGTCTGCCGTGGGGACATTGCAAAGCAAACACACATGTTTCGCGGTGATTCCTGCTCCTAGCCAGTGCCTCGGAGACCTTTGGATGGAGGTAAAAAGCTGAAAGCGAGAGCATTGCAGACATCAGGGCTGCGTTTGAGCTGCGCCCCAGCAGCCGACAGGAATCGCCCTTGGGGAGCCGCGTGCTGGCTGTGCGTGCGGGACCCCGAGTGCAGCAGGGCACCTCCTCAGCCGCTGCCTCTGCCCTGCCACCCTCCTTGCCGCCCTGGTAGAGGCGCAGGCTCGACAGCCGGAGGCTTTGCTTGTTTAAATCGGCCTGTCTGCCCAGCCTGCTTGCTAGACGCGCGCCATGGATCTGGCTGCAAAACCCACCCTGTCCTTTGATGTCAGATCAGTAAGTGCCAGAGGGGTTAAAGACAAGGTTTTTGTCTATGACAGATGCAGTTACTCTTGGCTCTTCTAACTGCTGGGGGAATTTAATGTAGAGTATCCTTACAGGCAAGAAATACATATAAAATGGACTAGACTAAACAGTTGATGCCTGTGTATACAGTTGCACAGTCAAGTCTCAAGGTCTGTATAAAATACGGGCATTGTATTGTTCAGGCCTGCCAGACGTTTCAGTGGAATGGATATGCTTTACAAAACTGAAACAGTAGATTCATTAGCTTTAGCTGGAAAGTATGCCATTATCATAACACTTAACCTCTGGTATTCCAAGGAGATGTTCCCTAAGAAACACAGGGAAGTGAAAAGAATCTGGGCCATCTCATTTCCATATAAATCACTGTTTTCCTTGCACTGGCAACAGGACTGCCTTGAGGTTTATGTGTAGACTTGAGCTTCAAAAACAGGAATGTGATTGGATTGTCTCCATATCTGATATTACATGCAATGTCACGGAAGAAATTTATTCTCAAGTTGGGAAAAACACAGAAGAAGAAGAAGGGTGGGGAGAAGAAGAATTGGGGATTTAATTGGCAGCTGCTTTGGACATTTTAATGCTGTATGGGTGCTCTATGTTTTGGGCTGTCCAAAGGAGGGTCACAGAGTACCCGATGTTGATGCTCCTTCTGCAGGGCTTGCAAATTAGGGTCTGTCCACGGAGGCCACGGTCACAGGGTTCCTGTGGACTGCTTCGCAGGTGTCTGAGGATGAGCTATCTGCCATCGGTGGTAGTTTTGCTGTAAGTCGAGAAGCTGCTCAACCACTTAAGTTTACTGCGTTAGCTACAAAGGGCTCACAGAATACGTCAGCGTTTGCCCTTGGACGCATCTGACTGATACTAGGCTAAACGTGCCTGTGACACCTGGGCTGGGTGCAGGGAGCCGTCTGACAGGCGTAATCTGTTGTGACTTTATCAGAGGAAGCGTCTGAGTTATGGTGGTAGCTTGCAGGTTTTTGCGCAGAATGCATTGGTTTTCACAGGGTCACTGGACCTCAGCACCCTGCCTGGACTGCCACCGTGGCTATTACAGAAATAGGTGATTTCACAGTAGGAGGGTTTGCAGTCTGCTCATTCAGAGTGCCCTGCTGTGTAGGGGAGGTCCCTAGAACGGACTTCAGATGGAAAACATTGTTAAAGGGAAAAAAAGGAAAAAAACACTTGGCATTTTTTTGCACCGGTGGTAAACTGCCTGCCTGTGCCTGACGTGCTAGTGCCAGAACTGGAGGTTTACCTGCAAGGACCTCAGGAGTGCCGGCTATTACAGTTTGTAATTGTGAGCCTTCTGGCTCCTTTTCCTCCAGCACTGTCTCCAGGAGCAATGTTACTGTATGTCAGCGTTAGCAATATTTAGATATTTTAGCTCTTACGGCACAAGTTTAGAAGGTGAGCTACGTAAGTTCAGAATATCGCCCGCAAATGAAAAGAGTCTTTGTTTGTTTGTTTATTTTACTCGTGAATTATAAACTAGTCTCATGGTTTGGGGGAAGTTGGCTTGCAGATTTTTGACGCCTCAGGTGGTCACAGCCTGGGTTCTGATCACGGGATCGGGGCTGATGCTGGCAACATAAGGAAGCCTCTATACCGCTCCATCTTTTTAAGCCAAGGGCTTTTCACTTTGGGGAAGAAATACTTCAGCACCATCCTGTGCTCTGTTGCTATATATATTATTTTTTTATAGCCAATTCAAAACTAGGCTAAACTGTTGAGTGTTCTCTACCTATCTATCTTTCCTCATGATTTCTTGGACTGTATGCATCAGAACGTGGGTGTGTGGGTTTTTTTTATTTTATTTTTTTAATCCTGTTATTTCATGTACAGTTTTCTGATGTCTTATGAATCACCAGTAGCTCATGGATCACAAATTGAAAAATACTCCTCTGGCATGCTTGAACCCGGGAGAGAAACATGTTGGGTGGGTGTGGGTGGGAGGGGGAAAGACTACAAATAAGTGAGTGTAATTTGCTTGTGTCATTCTCATCATTCATTCTGTAAGTGATATATTAAATATAAATGGAGGTAAGAATGGAGGGCGATTTTGATTATAGGAATTATTTTCAGTGTTAATAAATTAATGTTCTTACTGGAGCGGGTAGCGCTGTTGTTCCCGTAGAATTGGGTCTGTTCTGCATTGCTTCGCCTGTGCGGTTCTGCTGACTGCAGAAACATCATTTTACACCAGGCTCTTTGCAGAATAAAGCCTGGCATAATCCATTTGCAAAACTTCGGGAACTTAAATATTGCTGATAATCAGACTTACTCTGAACTCTCTTCTCCTTCCCAACGTAGGAAGGAAGCCTGTGGCCTTCAGAAAGCACGGTATCAGGAAACGGAATAACAGAGGTGAGGCTGAAGCTGGTGCTGCGTGCCGTTACCTTTCCCTGTTGCTCGCAGGCTGCGACGTTTCACAATACTCACGCTTGCTGGCTCTTTCTCTCCCTTTCAGCAGCAAATCTACACGCCGAGACCCAGCGACCGGCTCGCCGTGCCATCCTTTTTGCAGAGGGACCGTTTTAACAGATTCCAGCCAACGTACCCCTACATGCAGCATGAGATCGACCTGCCGCCCACCATCTCGTTGTCGGACGGCGAGGAGCCGCCCCCGTACCAGGGACCCTGCACGCTGCAGCTGCGAGATCCGGAGCAGCAAATGGAGCTCAACAGAGAGTCGGTCCGGGCCCCCCCCAACAGAACCATCTTCGACAGTGACTTGATAGATAACTCAGTGTATGGGGGGCCGTGCCCCCCCAGCAGTAACTCTGGCATCAGCGCGACCTGCTACGGGAGTAACGGTCGGATGGAAGGACCGCCGCCAACGTACAGCGAGGTGATAGGGCACTATCCCGGGTCAACGTTTTACCAGCACCAGCAGAACAACAATGGGATGCCCTCGATCTTAGAGGGCAGCAGACTCCATCATTCACAAATCAATGGCCTTGAGAGCACAACCGCATGGAACAAAGATAAAGAGAAACAAAAAGGGCACCCCTTTTAAAAAAAAAAAAAAAAAGGAAAAAAAATCACGCAAGAAAGTAAATGAAACACTCTGCACTTCTCGTTAAAAGAAAAAGGAGAGAGATTGAGAGTTGAGGAAGATGAGCAAAGAAAAAGAGCCCTTCCCCATCTCTCCGTGTATAAATATTTACTTGTTATGTCTGGTCTGAATGCACAAGCCTACAAAGCTTGCAAAAACATTTCTTTATTGAGCTGTGTCTAGACGTTTAAAAAGGAAAAAAAAATCAACTGTAGTCCTTCATTTTTTTTTTTGTTTCTAGTTGAGCTGTGTGTGAATGCTTTTTTTTTGTTTGATTATTTCACTTAACTTTAAAAACAAAATATTTGCACAAAAAACATTTTGTTTAAAGATATGCAATATAAATATATAAATATATATTAAAAATAAGAGAAAGTGTATGTGTAAGGAGCAGGAGTATTTTTGTATTAGAAGAGGCCTATTCAAAAAAAAAAGTTGTTTTCTGAACTAGAAGAAAAATGGCAATTTTTTGAGTGCCAACTCAAAAAGTGTGTATTACATTGTAAAAAAACAAAAAACAAAAAAAAACAAAAGCAGGGGTTTAGAGTTATTTATATAAATGTTGAAATTTTGCACTATTTTTTAATATAAATATGTCAGTGCTTGTGTTGGTCAAAGCCTCTATCATGTCTACCATGAAACTGTTAAGGGATATATGTCAAAGTGAAGAACAAACTAGCTGGAAGGGGGTGGAAAAATCCTACAGTTGAAAGGACAGCCCTGTGAGGAGCGTTGTGAGCAAGACTGCGTCTTATGCAAATCTTTGATTTCCAGAGGCAGCTGAGCGTGGCCCCTCCTGGCCCGTCGGCCGGTGGGCGGTTCAGTGGCCCTCGCTGTTTTATACATTCCCTACCAAGTAAGAGGAGTTTGTGTGTGTGTCTGTGTGTCATCAGTTAGGATTATTGGAGTAAAAAAGGAAAAATAAAAATCACTGCTTCTGACAGTCAGTAATGACAGAAGCAAACAAAAATTACTTGATTTTTTTTTTTTTTGGACAACCTCTAACTTTTTGGAGGGGGGTGGTGGGGATGAGAATAAACTTCTGTGTCTGACGGAACAAAGTGTTTTTTGGTTTCTTTCTTTCTATGTTAAACTGAAGGGCCCAATTTTGAGTTAAAACTGGTGGTTAAGGAAGTTAATGAGAGTAAATGGTAACATACCCATAGCCTGCCTTTCAAAGGGGTTTAAATATCTCATTGAAAGTACCAGCTGAAAAGTGTGTTGTTCCTGAACGTCATTTTCATTTTATATTAAACTCCAAAATTTTTATTCGGAACAAAAGAGCGCAGTCGTGTCTCATGAAATATCTGCAGTTCTTGTAGGCTGCCTCTGGTCATTGTTATTTTTTACTTCATTATCCGAGCTACAGAGGCATAAAATACAATAGGTGGAAATGAACCTGCTCCTGTGATGTATTAATTACTTAATGCTTTAGAAGCAAAAACCCTTTACCTCTTCTGAAGATTTCTTCATTCAAAACAGCACGGTCCCGCGTGGAGCGATGTCCTCCCCCTCCCGCCCTTCACGCCCTTTGGATGTTGTGCGTCTTTAATTTATCTTTGTTTCAGAAGCATTTTGTCTTACTATGCTGTTGTTTACATTTGTATATTGCGTAGATGTCTGATAGGTGTTTTACCCTTGCGGTGAATTTGTATGTGACAGAATGAGCGAGTGAGAAATTTGAGAGAGAGAGAGAGAGAGAGAGAAAACAAAAGGGAAAAACTGTTCTCACTACCTTGTGTGCAGGTGGTACCAGCTGGGCATCACTGCTCCGCTTGCTGCGAGAGGATTTCTCCGAGTGTGAGGAAGGGTTGGGTAGGGGAACCACAAAGAGCGAAGATTTTACAAGCAGGTGTAATTTCATTTTCTGCAGGATGCTATCTAGTAGAGTGACATAAATGAAAGATATAAAGGCAATAAATATTGTTTTTAAGCAACTTTTCTATTACTTGAAAAAAAAAAAACCATGAGAACAGTTTTGAAGTTCTGACCATTTGAACAATATTTATATATATTTTAAAGAAGACGATGAATAGCTGAACTTGAAGTTTAATCTTTTTTTTTGCTTTTTTTTTAATTTTGCCTAGAAATAGTCCTGTACCTTCTCAATATTCAGACTGCTTTTCCACAGCTCTTGAAATCTTCATAGCTTTACAGTCGTGTAACCTAAATTTTGATGACCTTCCAAAAAAAAAAAAAGCCACAAAAAAAAAGAAGTCATGCAAAGAAATAAATCTAGTTTGTCATGAAAGGTACAAAACTGATGAATTTATACAAGTTTTTAAAAATGTATCTTTCCTTTATGTAACATGTCTATTTAGTGCCTTATTAAAGAAACAATTACCCTCCCTTTTTAAAGAGGGGCAAACAAAATCATCCTTAGCGTCACAAGTAACCAGCGTCTGGTCTCTTGATCCTTAGGAGCTTGCGTTCGATCCTCCGATCCCTTGTTTCAGTGGGGTACTGCTTCTTTAAACGTTCCCGTTCTCCCCGAGACCCGCTCTGATGTGCCTCGCCGTGTAAGGTGCTCCCTTTCTGCCGTTTGTTTTCTTGGACTGTTTGTAAGGTAACTTGAACACATTTATGCACATCTCCTGCTCGCCTGGGTAGGAAACTGTGGTGGATATTGTAAACGAGATACCAACCAAAAGACAAACTGAAATATAATATCTACTGCCCTCTTGAGCCAAAATGCGTGAATAGTATTGTTGGGTTTTATTTGGGGGCTTTGGGGGCGGGGGGTGGGAGGG